TTTTTCTCTTTTCTTCCTTCTTCTTTTCACAGCCCCATCTTTTATAGCTGTACTCTTTTAAGACAGATTAAATGCTTCTTCAAATCAACCCTCACCCCTTAACTATTGCTATTAGTGAGGCTGTCGCCAATGCTGCTATTTTCTTTTTATTTCTCTTTCTTTTCAGCAAAAAAAAACATAAAAGAAGAAAAAAGTCAAATGACAGAATTCTTAAAGGATTAGCTTTAATCATTCATATAATTTCCACTTGTTGTCATTGCCATTTTTTGTACCTTTTTTTTTTTTTGCTGAACCACTCCAGTAGCATTGATCTTTAAACGTTGCTACTACTTATACCGTATTTCTGAAAAAAAACAATATCAAAAAAACTGGCCAACCTTAGGAAGAGCAATGAGAGCAGGAGACTTTTATTAATTAGTAAATGTAAAAATTGGGAAAACGAATAGAACTCAACGTCCATTGCTGAATCAAAAAAATTAGTTTCCTTGTTTATTCCTCTTTTTCTGCCTCTGACAAACGGAAAAAACAGAAAAAGAAAATGAAAAATGAAATAAAACGAACAATTTATCAATATTCTTTTCCCTTTTCCTGTTATTTAAGACCAGATCAACTGTGCAAAGGAAACAATGTGGCAAATAGGAAGAAAAATATACGTTATGCATTTTTCTTAAAAACAATTTTTTTTTTTTGTCTTTTTATGGTTGTTTTAAATAATTAAAAATAATAATAATGACGATCAATTGTCGACGAAACAGTGAACAGCTAATAATTGTAATGAGGTGATAAAAAACAAAGTTTAACTGATAAGGCGCTTGCTTAAAAGATCACAGCGATTTTCAGGATACTATGCACAAAGTGTTTCCAGATTTTGAATCCAGAATCACGACTTTGTTGACCAGTAAACTGGCTCCAGTTAAGCAAATGATCACTATCAAATAAACTGTGTCGTCTGTTTGAAAAAATTAACTAAAAATAGTTTTTTTCTGCCTTTTCTTCCGATTTTCTTCCGCCACTCAATCGTTTTTTTTTTTTTTCTAATGTCAAATAGAAGGCGAAAAAAAAAACACAACAAAATTACCACCACCATATTTCGGAGCACTATTTTTTTTTGGAGGGTGAACAGATTAAAAAACGATAATAACAGATAACAGCAGCAGCAATAAATTGAAAAAAGTTTTATATTTAAAAAAAAATAACAGCTTAAAAATATAGCTCAAACTTTTTTTGAAATTCCGTCAATTTTTTTCTTCCACTTATTCTTCCGCTTTCTTCTCCATTTCTTTTTCTTAAATTTTAATGCTCGAAAAAATTTCTTTACATTTCTGATTACAGGTTTCAGTCTTTTTTTAAAGGCTTTTCTTGACTTTTTTCCTCATTTGTTTCTATTTATTACCACTGTTATTCAGTAATTATTTAATAAATCATTTTTCAAAATTGGAACAACAAGAATACACTTACTAGTTTTTTTTTTTTCTAATAAACATTAAATTCCAGTAGTCACAATAAATTAGCAATGGTAGCAACAAATGCTAAAAGTTCAGAAAAAAATTTTGATACCTACTGCTATGATTTTGGTGTATCCACTATATAAATCACTGATATTATTTTCTGTGAAGAAAATAATGCCATAAACTCAACTGTTCCATCGTATATAAAATTTTTTGTTTTGTAACAACCAAAATCTGAAAGCAGCACTAGAATCCATTAAGGGAAAGAAAATTTTTTTGAGACGTATAACCTAAAATCCATTAAATACTGTTCAAGTTGGTGTTGTTCTGTCACAGCCTTTCAAGTCAACATCTATCCACAAACATTTGATTAGGTAGAAAAAAAAAACTAAAAACAAAATCAAGAGTCGAGACAAGAAAAAAAAAAGTAACATTAATGAAAGTCGATTAAAAGGGTTAAAAAAAAAAAGCAATCAGACAAAACGAATCCTTCAGCAGCAATCCGAACATAGACAGCTTCTGAACAATCGTATTCAACTACAACATTGCACGAAGACATTGAAAAACACAGACAAGCATAATGTGTGTGTATATCGGACCCTATTTAGTTGCAGTCTTTTTTTCCCCTCCTAACATCGCTTTGCCCTAATCATCAGATTCCTTTTTTTTTTTGTTCATCTTTTTTTTTTTT